ACTAAATTTTCAAAGTGAGATGAAGGGACAAAAAGTAAACTAAGAAACAATATCCTTTTCTCGAAGCTCTCAATAGAGTGGTCTTGCATTCCTCTCCAGAAAAACTGTAATCCCCTTTTGGCAGAGGTTGTGATCATCACTTTTGAAGAAAGGCTGCACTTTTGAATTATGTGATAAGATCACAACTTATTTCAAACTAGATAATTACTAGTTATGCAACACCTTCGAACGGTTATACCGACATGAAATATCCTAGGAGCTGTGAATACTTTTTCAGTATACACTATTAAATACATATATCTTATTAACCAAGCGCGAGGGCCGTACTGGGAGAATATCGGCCCGAGGTCTTGACAGTACGGACCGAGCGCGGCGAGGTGCGTACAAAAAAGACCGAGGGCTGATATTCTTCCAGTACGCTCTCGAGAAAGCTTGGTTCATAAGAGATTTATTATACGACTGAAGTTCAAAGGGACACAAGTGCGGTATCATTCGGGACCATTCGGGACAGTGCCCGGTCCAATACTGAGAGAATATTGACCGGCAATAGAGCATTTTGATTGGTTGATTTTAGCTATTGGCCCTCTGACTGCCCGAGTCGTGTAATAATGTATTGTATTGTCTGCGCTTGAGACCCTCTTCTTGATAAAACTATAACGCTTGAAAATAAATTCATTCTCTTTCTTTACTTCTCTTTTTGAAGCATTTTAATCCCAAAGGAAGTCATATCCTTGGGATCAAAGTTGGTGCCACATTACGGGGCCTATTATCCAGAGCGAAACCCCGAGGTTTGTGGGAATTAAAAAGTTTTGAATCTCCCTTTACTTTGCTTTTTCCTATGAATGCATAGTGGTGTTTACGAGACAATAATTTAGAAAAGTTATCTTACAGGCCAATTTTCTCCTCCCAAAGCCCCAGAACTGTCGACAAGAGAAGGTGAGTAATAATAAACATTTGAGCGATGCTGTACTTTTTTTTCTAAGAATTACCAAGAAACTGAAGGTTATCGAGTGATAACTACGAAAAGAATCATGTCTGGATTTCATTTTCAATATTGGAGGTGTACATGTGTAAATTTTTTTAGCCAGGAAGAAGAATTACAAGCTGATGACCGAAATTCAGAAACTCAAGAATTGTTTCTTTCTATGTACTAGATACCCTATGAGCAACGTTTCTTCTACATGATTATATTTTATCAGTTACCTAATATTAGTTATGAGAAACCAGTCATACTTATCGCAGGGGGTTCGGCGGGTTCTGGAGGGTCACATGAATTTCAGGGTTTAAAGGGGGGGGACTATAGAAAATTGACTACCAATTAACTCGCTCCGACGAAGGGCTCAAGCTCGAAACGTCAGCTTTTGTAATCGTTACGGTGGCCAATTTACCATTTCAACTTTGTTAATATATCCAAATTATTTCGTTACTCCCACCGACGCGGCTCCAAACAGTTTCTTTCGAAACTATCAGCCTTTACCAATTAACTGACAGCGAAGGGGAGGGTGAAGAGTATTACAGAACCGTAGGGGGAACGGGTATATTTCGTCGACACAACCAAAATCCTCTAGCTCCCCCTCCCTCTCTCTCACAGGCGATAAATAATAACAAGTCTTTGAGAGGCTTACGGCAAGACTTTCATTTCAGGGTTAGCAAGTTCTTATCTACACGATGATACGTCATTTTGTCCTGATATGGTAACTAGATGTCCTGCAAGGACAACGTGCTGTGAGGATTTGTTGTCCTTAACTGGTTACGGATGTTGTATGGAGCCTAATGCAGTAAGTTGCCCGGATAGTTGGCACTGTTGCCCCCGGGGATCCCATTGCTCCCCAAGTTGTAGCTTCAGATCATGCAAATGTGTTTTCCCTTCTACGCATCCCATTGCGGAAAACTTTACCAAGGAAGGGACGAAGATCAATATGAGATCAAAGTCTGAGTCAGAGACACATGCCGCAGGTAGTGTACCCGTTGAGAAAGCAATGGCGAAACATTTGATGTCGAAGGAGAGAAAGGAGAAGGAAAACAAACATAAAGCGAAGCTGGATAATAATCAAACAAAATTACATGAAAAGGTTGGAGGAAAATCAAAACATATAGTTAAGCCAACAGAGAGCAAAACGGACGGACTAAAGCAAGGACGGAAGCATAAGGCACGAAAGAAGACGAAGAAGAATAAATCAAAACCATACAAAAATAGTTTGGGAATCCACAAATCAATGAAATCAAGGAAAGCTAAAACAATCCAGAAGATTAGCAAAAATGTTGTCAAGGCCCACAGGAAACATCAAAAGACAAGATTCCACCACAAAAAGAAACAACAGTGGATTAATGTATTTCATCACCGATTCGGTGCACTGAAGAAGCGCAAGCCTCACATTAAGTTTTCTCACACCTGGGGAAAAGAAAAGCATCAGAAATTGTCATTCAAATCAAACAAACATACGGAAAGGAGGCCAATAATAGATGTGTCCATGACAGAAGAACTCAAACACCTCATTGTTAATCATCGAAAGGAGAAGCTCCGTGCGAGATTGAGGCTCCATAGTGATAATTCTTTGAAATATTTGTATGAAAGTAAAAAAAATGGGTACATTCAAAGGAAAAAGTCAAAAACATTAAAGAAATTGAAAGGAAGAAAGTCTCACCGAGTTAAAATAAGGAGGATTTTCAGTCAGCATAAGGCAAAGTATCATAAAAAACATTTATACCGCGCGAGGAGGCCCAGTATACGTTATAAACTGAAAAAAGATGGATTCCCCAGAAAATTTGCAAAAGTAAATGCCGAAGGTACTTCAGAGCACGGTCACTTGAAGAAAACATGACACTCCCTTAAGTGGAATACACTGAATGTTGATCACTCGAACAAGACCACTTCTGAAAACACATCTGTTCGTGTGGACACAAGCAAGGGAGAAAGCTTCTCAGAACGGGAAGAATCAAATGATTCTAGGATTTTACTAAAGAAAGCTGCGTTCAAACAGAAACTGCTCCTAAGAATTGCTGGAAAAGATCAGGATGACAAACTGAATTTCCCTAAAGATCTATTTCATCCGAGTAGTGTTCATGGTTCTGCAAGTATAAATGAAAAAACAAATAACTATTCATCGAATGTATCACCTACCCTTACCACTTCCATTTCTGGCGAAGATCTTCGCACTTCTTCAGCAATGTGCCTTCCGAATGTGACTACCAACTGTAGTGGAAAAGTCCCTAAAGAAAGAAAACTGAGAGGGAATTCGTTAACCATCTTTGAACAATATTCAACGCAAAGTGAAGTTGAAGGAAGCGGACAACCTGGTGACAGAGTGGAAGGTAGTAGAAAGGTTGAAAATAACGCTGTTTCAAATAAAGGACATATGGATATTAATAGTGTAAAGGAGGCCGCAAAAACGGAAAGAGACGGTATGTTTACAACGTCAGGTATGGAAAACAGAGTATGGATAGATTCAATCACGGGTTTCAGTGCAAATGGACTAGAGGGGTCTTCATTTGGCTCCTCAAGTGGCTTAGAGGAGTCCATTCCAACGGACAGTGACTTCGATAGACCGGAACTAGAAGCGCACGGTGAAAACTCAGCAGATGATCCAGGGAAAGTTATAACTGAAAGTGGATTGCACTGGGCTGGCAGAATCGAGACTTCTGACAAAGCAAGCTCATTTAGAAGGAATTGGAACGATCCTATTATTTCAAGTGGCTCAAGTGTTCGGAACTTTGTGAAAAATGAAGGAAGTGGTGAGTTTGGAGGAGAAGCCATCTATGGCACAGAGAGAGGTGTTGACGAGCCAACAACCTTTTTTAGTGGCAAGAAAGCGACTGATTCTGGAAGTTCTTCTTCCAGTGGAACAAATTCGTTTGGTAAAAATAATGTGGTGATGGAGGATGAGGAAGCCACGGAACGCGACGGTGAGAATTTCTCTGCAACATCTACCAAATATGTTTTCCCTCAGCTGGGGGAGAATGATTGGTACTCAGGTGAAGCTTCCGGTGGATCTGAGCTCAGTGGCAGTCATCAGTCTGGTACATCCGGATGGGATAGCAGCGGCAAAGACAATCGCCTGGTTCTTACCAACGGAACCTCGAATGTCTCTGTCTCCGTAGAGACAAACGATGTCTACCACGATTTTGATGAACAACTCGATGCCAGTGGGGTGGCTAATGAAGAAGAACTTACTCTGTATAAGAAAAGTGATATTGGTGGTCGAGTGGACAAGTATCAAAGGCATCTCAGCAAGACTGCGAGAGGAAATCATGAGGAAAATAGTAGTCTTACGTCATGGAAAGATCAGGATCTTCAACAGCTTTTGTATTGGTTGTCTACCAGTGATGACGATGGACATTTCAAAGAAATGCCATCTTCAAGAAATCTGGGGCCTTTGCACTACGTTAATCAAACACAGTCTAGATATTCATATATCCAAAGACTTCATGATATGCTCATGCAAAAGGTTTTCCCAACTTTTCTCCAAAGGTAATGAGTGGAAGAATCTGGAAGAAGATGAAGATGGACAAATTTTACATTGAAAGTAAAAGTGAATTATTTAATTAGTTTACTCCTTTGAAAGACGAAGAACGCGGAAAGTACAGTTTGGTGTTATTTTTGAATGCTAATCAAAGGAAGAAGGATTAAAATCCAAAAAATTGATCAATGTAGAAAAATAGAATTCTCTCACTGATACGTTTGATTAAACATGAGGGAAATTTGGTATATTTTTAGAAATACTGTAATATTTAGGTCAAATTAATTTTATAATTTCTGTTCTCTTCTAAGAGAACTTTGTTATACACAATTTTCTAGAGTAATTAGCATAGATTTATATGACGAATCTCTTTTTTTTTTTTATCATAAAGTTGGCAGCGCGCGCAGGCAAGATGAGGCGAATCCTGTGTATTGATGGCTACTCGGACGGGTAAGATGGCCTTTCATCTTGCCCGCTCGGGACTGCCCGCTCGGGACTGCCCGCTCGGGACTGCCCGCTCGGGACTGCCCGCTCGGGACTGCCCGCTCGGGACTGCCCGCTCGGGACTGCCCGCTCGGGACTGCCCGCTCGGGACTGCCCGCTCGGGACTGCCCGCTCGGGACTGCCCGCTCGGGACTGCCCGCTCGGGACTGCCCGCTCGGGACTGCCCGCTCGGGACTGCCCGCTCGGGACTGCCCGCTCGGGACTGCCCGCTCGGGACTGCCCGCTCGGGACTGCCCGCTCGGGACTGCCCGCTCGGGACTGCCCGCTCGGGACTGCCCGCTCGGGACTGCCCGCTCGGGACTGCCCGCTCGGGACTGCCCGCTCGGGACTGC